CTGGTAAATGCAATGGAAGGATAAAAGAAAACATCTATTCTGTAACTATACTGAATAGTCTTATGAAGCTGCAAGTCACCTGCCATTTGTGACTGAAGGGTTTAATCAGGTTAAATGCAATTAAATTTCAGATTTAAAGGTATATTTATATAAGACACATCAGCAAATTTGTAATTCACCCTTCTAGCATTACCCCACATGACAGGTGTGCCAGGAGGGAGTAGGTGTGTGTGTGTGGGAGGGGAAACAAATTGTTGTTTTTTTCATTTTAAATAAAAATAGAACTAAAAATATGTGCTGCGGTGCAATATAGGAGGTACAGGTTTTTGCTCACAGAATACCTTTAAAAAACAATAAATTATATAACAACTACACTACAGGTTAAGTTGGGGAGCCTTCACAATATGATTCTTAAAAGTGATACCTTAATAAAAAAAAACATTTGGGTTATCTCCAATAAATCAAGTCAAAAATAGCACCAAAAAAAACATTATTAAGATACATATGACTATAGCCGATGGGCCACTTGTAAGGTTGAAAATATTTCAAGAACAACTCTGGGCATATTAAAAATTAATCTTGCAGTGGGGCTACTCCCATATTGCAAGGGTTAAGTGCTCATTTTGGTCTAGGGCCTAAAAGTAAAAGGATATACTCACCTGATTTTTGGTTCCACCTTGCTGTTAGACAATTGCCCGCAGCCTCTTCTCCTCTAGGCTCCAGCGGTCCAAGGACCTGTGACGTCATCATGTCCATTCATTGGCATAGGACGTTAGGACACTGAGGGACATTTGTAAGCATGGATGGGGAGACAGGTGAGCAGTCCCCGCTGTGGGACCTAGGATCACGTGAGTATATCTTTTTTTATTTTAGAGCCTAGACCAGGGGTAGGCAACTTGGCTCTTCAGCTGTGCTGAAACTACAAATCCCATAAGGCATTGCAAGCCACAGGCATGACTCCCGAGGCAGAAGCATAATTTGATTTATAGTTTCAGCACAGCTGGAGAGCCAAGGTTGCCTACGCCTGGCCTAGACCAAAACAAGCGCTTAACCTTTGTAGCATGAGTATAGCCCCATTGCAAGGGTTATTTTGTTTAACTACCCAGAGCTTCTTCTTTGAAAGCAACCAGCCACCGTTCAAACAACCTCCAATCACAGAGACGGCAACTGGATATCCAGTGTATTACTGTATTAATACCATACAAGATTGCTTCTTACAAAATGTGTAGAAATGCTCCAAAAAATTCAGTTATGCCTTCATAGGCTTCAATGAATCAAATGAATATTCATCCGCTTTTTTTTGTCCTGATGAAGAGTTTTCTTCACTCTCGTTTTTGCAGTGAATTAATTGGTCCGGGGTGATGTATTATCACTGTTTTTACTTCTTGATTGGACTGATGTTTTCACTGCCTTTTACACAAGGTCATATGTAAGATGTTATCTATGATTGCAATTACTATCTCTTTGTACATTGCCATATGATCTTCCCATGTGGAATATAACAGTGATTGCTAGCAGTTCTCTTTAGATTGGAACCAGAACACAGTGATTAGTACCTTCCTTTGGAATTCTATAGCTACTATTGGAATACCGCAGTTATGGTTAAATGAGACAGCCCTGCATCATCTAACCACTTGTATCTGCATATAACGCAAACTGATACTTGGATACCCCTAAGGGGGGTCTACTGTATTACTCAGGAGTATTTCTATATACAGTTTGTATTGGCCCACACTGTGAGACACATCATTTTAATTAACACCAGTTTCACATCAAGAACAATGCTGAACTTGCTGACTATCGTATATAAGAAAGGTCTACTGGTCTATGATACCAGCTCCTGTTCTAAGAACTAGATCGCAGACTGTTAATACTTATCTGTGAGATATATAATAACAATATGCAGGGATCTCAAGTCTCCCTGATGTTCAGGGAGTCTCCCTCTTTTGGACAGCAGCTCCCTGATGTCTGCGAGAGAGGCTTTATGTACACATGCACATGGAGACTGCACTGATAAAATTTGTGTGTATTTCCCCACCCAGAAAGCCACAGGTGCTGCATACAGTCGCTCTTAGACATCAACGGCTGCATGTGGCTGTATACGCTGGTATTTACGTAAACTCACACATGTGTATCAAAAGTGGAGCAAAAAGAATCTGGAGCAGTTGCCCATGACAACCAATCAGCTTTTCTGTTTGTTCAGTAAAGCTTTAACATGAAGGATAGACGCTTATTGGTTGCCATGGGCAATTGCTCCAGATTCTGTCTGCTCCAGTTTTGATAAAATCAAATGCATTTGGGGCATGTGTTGGTGTGAAAGTTGTTTTGAAAGTTATGACATGTGGCCTCTTTCTAGGTTCATACAATTTTCACCTATTGATTAACTGCAAAAACAAGAGGGAAGTTACCACTTTAATGTGGACTAAAGGTGAATACATATTCTATGATTCATTGAAGCCTTTCAAATCATAACTTTAAATTGTTAAGATCATTTCTACACATTTCTTAAGAGGCACTGTTGTTTACAATGAATATGATAAACTGGATATCCAGTTCCCTTATCTACTATAGGAGGTTGTTTGAAGCATGTCTGGTTGGTTTTAAAGTATAGCTACAAGCAAAGCTTTTTTTTTTTTAGCTTTAGATAAAGCAGTGAGGGTTTAGTACCTCTGTAAGGTTATTGTTGCTGTCTGTGCCCCAATTCATTCTTTCTAATTTTCCTGGTCACCAGTGTCACTGATAATAAAAGTGAGGGTAAATCCAAAGTTTTGAGTTGCCAGCAGAACAGGAATAGAGGGGAAATGGGGGCACTTGACTAAGAGGGAACTTCCTTCACATTTGAAATATATCCTTTCACTTCATGTTGAGACTACAGGTCAATCTCCCCATTGAGACACAGATGGCAAAAAAAACATGATTCTCAATTAGGGGGCACATTGAGGAACTTGGCCTTGGGGCAGCATAGAGAGTAAATCTAACCTGACTGCAGTGGGATAGAAAAATGTTGCAGAGGATGTAGCTATCAGCATTATACCTGTTGGCTCACAAGTATGTAGCTTGTTAGTCAGCACTTGACCACACCCAGTACTGCCCCCTGCTTTCTGCATTGACCGCAATGCCTCTCTAAAGGTGCCCATACACCTATCGATTAACGTTCGTAAATTGTTCCCGAATGGTCATTCGAAAAATAATCAATCACTTGATGGGAACCTAACCATTTGTTTTACCGTACTCCTGGCTGAATTTCCTCAATCGGTTAGGCTGGAAAACTTTTTTCAAATTGTATGAAAATCGATGGATTAGTGGCTTTTTCGTATGGAAACAAATCGTAACATAAACATTGCACATGTGCAAACGAAAATCTGTTCTGTTGATTGATGAAATTTGGTGAGTTAGTATTGCTAATGAACGATTATCAAAATCGACATTGGTCTGTGCATGACAGGGCATTCGAGCCGAAATCAAACAAGGGCTCGATGGCGTCACACACAAAAAAGTCCAACCATCATCGCAGAGTGTATGGACAGCTTTACTGAAAGTTGTAGGGTCTGAGGAAGGGCTGAAAATATTGGATGTGGTAAGACACAAATGAAGGAGGTTTTGGCTCAGTCAGGAAGGAGCCTTTTTCTGTTTTACTTTCTGAAACTTGTGCTTCAGAAAGTAAAGAAAAAAAATAACCCTAGAAGCGTTGAACATTATCAGATGCAATGATTTGACATCTCAACCCAGCGAACTATATTTTCAAATATTTTCACTCAATGCCAGGTGGATGTGCATGGAAGGTAACATTCACCCTTGTATTGGTAATAAAAATATCACAGTAAGCACCTTTTCTAATGGAAATACAAATGTTATAGAATGTTCTTTTAGGCAAATTTACTCTTTCAGGTGAATGTTGGGTCGGTGTACATGTTAATGTGAAAATTATTGGCCGTTTCTAATCACCTGAGTAGTGATAATGAGCACTTCGGGAAGCAGTAGTTGCCCTCAGTAGTTGTCCAACAGCTGTAAAATGTCCCTGCCTGCAAGCCTGTTCTTTTTCTAAGTAATAGAATAGAGGTTCCTGGAGCAGGAACAATAAAAAAAAAAAAAACCTAGTCTGTGAATATCCTGACAATTTATAAAGCTGTACAAGTTGTAGCCATTTTAGATCTAAAGGGTCAGTCCACCCAAAACAATTTTTTTTCATAAATGATAGAAAAGTTAAACCACCTGACCATTTTTTTACATTTTTCTTTGAAACTCTATTGGAGAAATATCTCCACTTGGATCTGTGTCTCAATCTCCCTACTGGAGTCTTAATTTATTTTATTTTATAGAGAATGCAAAAGAAGGTGCTGGAACCTGTAAATGTGGTCCACAACATCCCAAACTACTAGCTGAACAGGAACAGTTGGGAAATATGGCAGGGAGATCTCTCTGACATATAATAAACCTTTACGTCAACTTATCTTTTAGGAACAGTTATTTAAACATTACAGAGGAAAGTAAAAACAGAATCGAACATTATTACCTACTAACCTAACAACCCAGCCGAATTAATCTGATAACCTTCTATACACAACTGCCTGTTTATAATGATTCTGTTGTAAGAAAGTTACAGTGTCTTAGTTGTAAAACTGCCATAGCTTATTTCATATAGGACACATCCCACATAGGTGGTATATTCATATTTACACTCTCACTAAACTTTTATTACTTGCATAGTGTCAGTGGTTTGACTGGCAGTGAAACATTTAGCATTAGCATGGTGTTTGTGGTCGCTGCACTTCCACAGTTAACATCCAAATTCCCTAACAGCCAGCAGTCAGCAAACAGTAGCACTAACCCCCACAACACAGTTCAGATTAGCTGGTACACATAAAGTGATATGGCACGACTCATAACTCAGAAGCTGCCAATACAAACACTGTAAACTTGACTCTCGTACACTGTGTGCATGCACTGCAGCGTTCAGAAATTACTGCCAGCCAATGAACATATTGTATAAGATGACTTACGTTGATTTGCCACATATCTTCCTCTGGTACCACTGCTTGCAGTTTGTGTAGTATTGCTTGTTTGACCCAATAATCTTCTGTACTGCACACACATTAGGGCTAAAACATGAAAAGTATGCAGGTATTTAATAGTGAAATAAATAATAATAATACTTATAATATTATTTTATTAAATATAAGTTATTAATAACATCATTCTTTCTAAATTCTAAAACATCAACACTGAACACCTCTTAACAGTGTATGTTTACTAACAACACTGGACACAGAAGTTAGCAGCATACACTACAACCATTTATATCTGTTTGCCCAATATACAGGAGTTCCTCACACAAAACTTAGCAGTCACAGAGTTTTACTGTAAAACACTGAACTGCTGTAAAGCACTTATTTATGAAAAAGATATATACTTTTATGTATCAACAGTAACAAACTTAGAACCTATAGGATAAAAAACAGGAAAGGAAGTTACATTTTATTGTTAGGATTGTTAAATTAATTTTTTTCTAAGAAAATCAGTATATTTGCAAAAAATAATGAGCAGCGAAGAAAAAGAAATGAACAAGGTTCTTACCCATGGAGCCTGCCTCTAATCCTGCTATGCTGCAAGACCTGTTGGTAAGGATACCTGGCTGTAGTTACCAATGTGGCCAGGAAGGTAAGAGTCAAGGCAAGCAGCACAATGCGATTCATTCTGCGAGGAGTAAGTGCAGGTTGTGAACTCCCACAGCTCTGAACTAAAAGCCAGGAAACATAAGCTGTGCTGTGTTAAATAGACCGAGCGCTGGAATGGGTGGAGAAAACAAGCTAATGCTGCAATATGAGCTTGACTTTCCAGGCTGACTCTTTGGGGAATATGTAACCTCTTGGCTGCGTGTCTGAAAGAGTTTTAGAAATGTAAAAGTTACAATTATTAGGTCTGGCCTGTGCTGCCCGCTGTCATCTCTTTCATGTAAAATGCAACCATTATTTCAGTCACTGGATACTACTACACTGCAATGCATATTTATATCTGAATATAATAGTGGCTAGAAAAACATTTGCAAAGAGTTTAGAAGTTTTCCTTTGTCCAGTGTACTCTACAGGATTGTTGGACACTGAGATTATTGTTTGTATACTAGAGTCAGCGGGGAAGCATAAAGTAAACTGTGGAATAATGCATCACTTAAGAAAACCGCTAATGACATTTGAGTTAAACAAAACATACAAAAAGTCCATGTGAATAATGGCAATGATGTTGGTTACTATGGGGAAAGTCCATACATGTCTGTTTACTAGAATTTCAAATGGAGGAAACCAGACGCTTCAAGTGTATGTGATGCCAAAACTTTGTTTTCGTTTGGATAGTTTGGGGATGGATTAGAACCCTTGATAGGTTTTACTGCTATGCGGGGCTTTGGTGGAGAGCTTTACCCTCAATTAATGTCTTGGTTGAAATACAGCATGGAAGAGAGGCCCACACAGAAATACAAAGAGGACAGGGCTTCTAGCCTTGCCAGCACAATAATAATAATAATAACAATTATTATTATTATTTGTATTATTATATTACACAGGCTTTATATAGTTACAATACTACAATACAAATCAAGACAAGATGGTAAGGAGGGCCCTGCTTGTGAGAGCTTACAATCTAAAAGTGTGTATTTCTGTTTGTGTTGCTTTTTTCTCTCACTTCCTGTGTGGTGTAACTGTTGTCACTGAACAGTGAGTAAGAAGAAATGTTTCTTGTTGTCACACATAGCAACAATAACCCAACGGGTGTTTTAATCTTTCTCCACATTATACAGAGTGAAAACAGTTGCTGGAGACTGAAAAACAAATGTATGGATTAAGCCAAAATGCCTTTTTACATTTTAAACAGAGTCATAGTGGGTTAAAACTGCTGCCATTTTTGTTATCTGAGTCTCGTGAGGGACATTTATTTTCATTGCCTGTCCTGTAGACTCAACAGGAAGTGAGAAGATATCTCTCTAATGGTGCACAGACAACCCGTCACCACTCTATAAAAATGTATACTTTACGCTTAAAGAAAAACTGTACTAATATTTGAGTTGCCATTGCTAACCCTTTTATTTTTGTAAATGCTAATGTTGTTTGACTACGATAATTATCTGGTGGTTTTAATACTTTCAGAATCACTGACCTGAAACAAGCAAGCAGATCAGGAGTTCTGGCACCACTCTACTTTTCCTTGTTGGATGTTCATTCTGGTTCAGTGGCACACTAAGGTGGATTTACTAAAAGATAAGAATGTTAATGAACTTACTGAATACGTTGAATCGTCCTGTATTTTTATTTGTTTTGCACATAATTGAGTATTGAAAGTGAACACAGATTAAAGGAGAACTATGAGGTGAGTGCTTTTCGCTCACCTCATAGCTCTAGCTGACCTGTGACAATGAGACTGTCACAGGTCGGCTCAGTAGATCGGGAGGTGAGCGAACACATACCGGCGTTCACTCACCTCTCGATCCTGTCACAGCTCTCTGCCGTGACAGGGGAGGGGCTGGATTCCCCCCTCCCCGCTCCGCCATCGCTGACTGGCGCATCGGACAGGGGAGGGGGAGGGGGCGGGTACAGATAGGCAGAGCCAGCTGTCACTCACCCAGCTGGGCGGATCCAGACATAATTGTCGGGATCCTCTTAAGCTGCGGCGTCTCAGTATACCTCGAGCAGTAGCTCGTGGTATACTGTTGCGTCTCAGTATACCGCGAGCTGCAGTTCGCGGTATACTGAGGTGCTGAAGCGGATCCCGACAATTATGTATGTCTGTGTGAAGGTTCACAACCTGAGCCAGCACTACAGGAAGAGGCACTCAGCTGCAAAGGGAAGTTCTCACCCAGCATGAGAAGATACAAGGATTTAAAAGGAAGAGCAGCAAAGAGAAGGGAAACTACCATGGATTACAGTAAGGCACACATTACAGTATTGGTTTACGTTAAAACATCTGAGGGTTTAATGTCACTTTAAAGGAGAACTATGAGGTGAGTGATTTCAACTTCCTTACTGTAATCCATGGTTGTTTCCCTTCTCTTTGCTGCTCTTCCTTTTAAATCTGTATCTCTTCTCATGCTGGGCAGAACTTCTGTTTTGCAGCAGACTGCCTTGTCTCTGAAATTGATACATGATGTCTGTGTGAAGGTTCACAACCTGAGCCAGCACTACAGGAAGAGGCACTCAGCTGCAAAGGGAAGTTCTCACCCAGCATGAGAAGATACAAGGATTTAAAAGGAAGAGCAGCAAAGAGAAGGGAAACTACCATGGATTACAGTAAGGCACACATTACAGTATTGGTTTACGTTAAAACATCTGAGGGTTTAATGTCACTTTAAAGGAGAACTATG